ACGGTTGTGGGAAAAGGGGCCATCTTCGATCCAGCTGCCCTAAACGAACTGTAGAAAAAGGTGATCGATCTCGAGAGGGTAGTGTGGCTAACAGCACCGCCCAGCAGCAGCAGGGAAACTGGCGGGTACTGACTGATTTTAGAAGAGGTACTCCTAAGATTGTCCATGTGAATAGACTGGCGCGTTATTATGGGGCCAACAATGCTCGGGACGAGCATGTCTTAGGAGGGGGCAGTGTTGCGCGCCACTATTAATGTCTTGTACATGGCAACACTAGTTACACTAGCGCCCTCTAGTGTCGAGTAGCAGAACTAGGAGAGTCAAGATCCTTCCAGAAATTTCGGGACCGATATGTACTCGAACATTCTAGATGTCGCTACAGTAGAAGGTTCTGGAAACTATCTGAGGCCCTATATAAGGCCGGTATAAACCACGACCGGGGCAGTATTGAATTGGCGATACAAGAGAATACTTCGAAGCGAAATAACGGCGAACTGTGTTTTATTATTAGTGTAATTTTAGATTGTAATTAGTGTTGTGTAATTAAAGTGTCAATTTTGGTAATTCAATCGGCAGTTTTTAATTGTCTCGAACCCCAAGCTCGTAACAATATTGTTGGTATACTGCACTTGTTCAAAGTGGTGCGTTTCTCATGTCTAATAAAACAGTCGTCTGTGAAGTGTTTAGAACAATGATAATCATTTTGTTTCGGACGCCAATTCACAATTTTTGTGCTTTTTAGCCATAATTTTAGTTTACGTTCTAGTTCTAGGTAGGTTGGTTGTGAACAGATATGGGTAGAAAAGAACATCGATAGTATTATAGATAAGGAACTCAACAACCCTATTGAATTTTACTGTTTATCAAAACTCAGTAATATAAAGACAAACATATTGGTAATTACGATATTAAGATTAGAAACAAATTTTTAAGTACCTATATTGTCAAATAGTTTTAATTTGCTTAATATTAGCTGCAAATTCACTTAGTTGTGTAATGTTATCCCACTTTCTTTTTGGTAGCGAGTTTTACATATTACGCAAACTCTAATTATCACTAAAATAATTCTTATTTTGTAACTAAAATCAAACATAATCAAACCATATAAAATACTTTCATATTTAGTTTAAAAATTCAAAATACAGTGATATGATTTAAATAATACAACAGACTGGTATATTATGTCAATTTTAGTTCCCGGTACGGACAATGATGGCGCATCAAATCGGCATAAGCATTTTGTATGGCATATCCATTGCAGCATACTTGTACTTGATTGTCACCGCAGTTGGATCAACTATAATCAATATTCGACCACGTGTCACTGCGTGCTATTTGGGTGACGCACTTTGTGAGTCATGCGTGGCTATTTTTAGACATTGGAGTACAGAATTCTAGACTTTAATCATATTATCATAGCACTAATGCACTACGTTACTTTGATGAGAAGCAGACTTTATGTATATAGCTTAAATCGCAGTTTTGTTCGCATTATCTGTATTAAATAAATTAGGAATGATTTCTACTGGCAGCAACTAGATGTGTGAAATCTATTTTGGGGCATTTGTCTTCCGCATCATCATCATCACAACATTTCACAAGACCACTACTGACCCTAGCCTTCCACTAGGTATGTTACAAAACATGGTCCTGATCCACATCGAAAGTAAATAATGCTATATCTAAATTAGTAAATTGGTTTAATGTTAATAACTTGCTATTAAATGGCACTAAAATGAAATGTATGAAATTCATAACTCCAAATGTGAAACAATTAAATACTAATGTAATTTTAAATGGGATGGAACTGAGTCTTGTCGATACCACCATTTTTCTTGGAAATAACACTAGACGCGAAACTTCAATGGAGCACCCATATATCAAAGTTAGCAAGCAGACTTACGCTGTAAAAAAGATTAGAAATCTTACCAGTGTGAAAAGAGCTAGACTTGTTTCCTTTAGCCATTTCCATAGCATAATATCGTATGGTATTTTGCTTTGGGGACACGCAACTGATACTGAATTTATATTTGTTTTACAAAAGAGGGCCATAAAATTTGACCTGCTCAAAGTTCAAAAACTATATTAAACAAAGTTTGTATAAAAAGGGTTATTATAATATTAAGGAATTTATGGATGATAATAACCCCTGGGAATGAGGTGATCGCTACCAAGCTATTTCTAATTTGTTTTGTGTGGTTAATTGTATAACATACATGATTGTAAGCAGTTATTTAAAAAAAAGTCCCGCTTGGTTTCTTACTGGTTCTTCCCGGGACAGAGATTTTTTTTCGAACCAGTGGTAATTAAACAAAAGAATGATTTTCAGTAAGTATTATTTATAATCTATATTGAATAAAAAAGTTTCTGTTTCTGTTTCCGTTTCAGATTTAACAACATAAAATTATATTATTAAAAATTATATTATTTTATAACTTTTCTTTATAAAGCCAGCTTGATTACAGCAAGCTTAACCTTAGAAGAACTATATTTAAAAAAAAAACAATGATCTGGAATATCTGTTTCAGTTTAATTTAAGTAAATTTTATTTTAACATCTTATAACTTGAGAAATGCTTTTCTAAATGGGTTCTTGTGAGTTACTACTAGTAGTCTTACTTTCATATTGTTCATTCGTTATCCATCCTTTCATTATCCATCCATCCGTTGCAACCTATAAATGTTCACTGTGGAACATAGGCCTCCCACACAGTAGGGGACTGTCATATTATATAACTTTTTAAAAGTGTCTACATAATAATATGTAACAATATATTGTCTTTAAATTTTAAAATGTATCTATAAATCTCATAATTTGTTTGGTACTTACAACTGACTAGTAAAGTCGTATTATAAAATTATTTTAACAATAACATTTTTTTTTATAGGAGAGGGGGCAAACGAGCATGCGGCTCACCTGATGGTAAGTGACTACCGCCGCCCATGAACAACCGCAAGACCAGGGGAATTGCAGATGCGTTGCAGGCCTTTTAAAAAGGAGTAGGCTCTTTTCTTGAAGGTCCCTAAGTCGTATCGGTCCGGAAAAATCGCTGGTGGTAAACTATTCCACAAAGAAGTTGTGCGAGGAAGAAAACATCTTCTAAATCGCACAGTGGTGGACCGCCAATCATCCAGATGGTGTGGATGGTATCGGGAGTTCTGCCGCGATGTGCGTTCGTGAAATTTGGCGGCTGGGATTAATCCGAACAATTCCTCAGAGCACTCCCCATGGTAAATGCGACAGCCTTGGACAGCCTTGGCGAGAGACCAGAATGCACGGGTTCTCGAAGGAAGGCGAACTAGTTTCTCGCCAATTCTGCCTATGTGCTCTGACTTTGCCTTGACAATAACTCTTTTGAAGGACCTGGTGGCGAAGTTATATTTCTTTTTGAGTGTGCTGGTGTTTACATCCCGAGTCACCGAAGCCGCAGCCCAGGCTTGATAACACTCCTGCTTACTGCGTAATGCAGTCTTATAGGAGCGACCAAACCAAGGCTGAGATCTGCCTCCGATGGGTACCACAGATGATGGAATAAATAGTTCCATTCCCTGTAGCACCACATCAGTGACAGAGTCAGCAACAGCGCTGGGATCATCCGGCGAGAAGCAAACCCGCCCCCATGGGTAGGAAGCAAAGAAAGACCGCATTCCGTCCCAATCCGCCGACCTGTAATGCCAAACACGGCGGCAACCTGCAGAACGCAACCGCGAGGGGAGCGTGAGTGGCACCACACTCCGGATCAGACAATGGTCCGAAGAGCCAAGAGGGGCATCGACGGAAACCTGATATCCGTCCGGATGAGAGGTCAGCAGAAGGTCCAACAGGGAAGGTGTATGATCCTCAACATCTGGAATCCGCGTAGGCGATGTAACCAGTTGTGTCAGACCATATGCCAAGGCAAAGTCATAAACAGATCTCCCCGCATGATCGGTTAAACGTGAACCGAGCCATTCGGCGTGGTGGGCGTTAAAATTGCCAAGGATCACGATCTCTGCGGATGGGACCTGTTGTAGCAAGGAATCTGTAGCCATTTGGACGTGGTCGATGAGTCGGTCTGTTTCGGCATTACCGCTATGGGACCTATAGAGGCACGCGTAGACGCGCGGATGGTCGTCGCTGTCTACACGTAGCCAAAGGATGGACAGGTCCGAACCTTCAAGACTGCCGAGGCGTCGAGAACAGATGTCCTCTCTGACATACACGCAAACTCCAGCCCGAGGCACAAAGGAGTGCTCCAATTTGTACCCCGGGCAGGAGAGATACGAAGTATCAGCCGGAGAGGACACCTGCGTCTCGGTCAGAAAGAGCAAGGCCGGCTTCGCCGTCTCAAGATGGTAGTGGACGGCGTTTAGGTTCGAGTGAAGTCCCCTGATGTTGCAGAAATTCACGGATAGCGTGGCAGGGGTCGCCTTGGTCTTGTTGCTCAGTTTGCCCCGAGCAGTTATTGTGTTGAGCGGAATTTTGCCCCCCCCCAGAATACGCGGGGCAGCCTGAGCACCCACGCTCAGGAGTGGAATAGCATGGTCGTGGATGCTCAGCGAGGGATTCTCCAGGGGTACTGGTACCCTCCTGGGGTAGTTTATGACGTAATTCCGCTACCATGTTGATGGGGTGGGGGGGGGGATTGGGCCTCCGGTCACCTGCACTCACCAGACGAAACGCGGAAGCAGAGCTTCCACTTCACGCCGGTATTCTGTGAGGTCGTGGTACTAACCCGGCTCGAGCCGGCCCATACGTGCAACAGCAAAAGCTGCTGCAAGGCTCTACCACCGTTAAAGTAGATAGAGTAGTATTTCATCGTAATATTTTGATTACACATTGTTATTAATTGACATAATTAGCTCACCAAAGATGCACGCCGTGATAACCTATGATAAATTAAGACAACATTTAGTTTTTAATGATAGAATAAAAATATTGTAATAAATTATATATATTATATAAAAGCGTATGTCTTTTTAGTTATCATAAATTAAAAAAATATTACCTCTGTATTCCAGAGGCGTCCCGGCTGCCTCCAGATGTCGGTGCTGTTCAATTCTGTGTTCATCTTCTGCATCTTCTTAGTGGCTGTGGTGACGTGCATATTCAGCAACGAGCTAAAACCTTTCCTGGACAACCCGGGCAATGTCGCTCTGATCGTGGTGATGTTCATCGTTGGAGCCGGTATTCTTGTGACATTTTATTTATTTAACGAAAATATTTTATTAAGTGGTAACTGGTGAACTGGTGAACGCATCTAGCTCGTGATGCATCGTGGATCCTAGGTTCGAAACCCATGCAAAACTATTTATCAAGTTATAAAGGAATCTCTCATCAGCCGCCGTGTAAGTGTAATGACGGCGTAAGAGAATCCACTACCCCATATCATCTCGTGGATGTCTTAAGAGGCGACCGAGCAAAACTGGAGCAGAAGATGTTCAGCAGCATCATCCTGATAACAAATCGAAATAAAAATACTGCGGTTGCTAACCCGTCCCCTAATCGTGACAACAATAGCAAATATCCCCCCTATTTTCACAGTGGACTTTGGTAGACTGTTAACATCTTTGCCAACCTTTTTACTGGTACAAAGCATTCCACCTTCGTCCTCAAGAGTCATATTTTTTTTTTTATAGGATAAGGGTGACAAGCGAGCACACAGTCCACCTGATGATAAGTGGTTGCTGTGGCCCATAGATATCTACATTTATCCTCGTTTGCGAATCAAAATGCAGATGTGTTGCCACCCGTGAGGACTAAGATGGAATGCCCCGTTTCCAGTAAAGAGGATCTCCAGTTCTCTACACTCACCATACGAAACACAGCAGTGTTAAGCTGCTATTTGACGCTGGTGTTCTGTGAGAGCGTGGTCCTTCCCCGGTCGAACCAACCTATTCGTGCTACAACTATACTACTAATATAGCTACAGCATGGCTCTACCACGTATGATTTGATGTAATGTTTTTACTGGTATAAAGCATTCAATCTTCCTCCTCAAGAGTTACATTGTTTTTTTTTTATAGGATGAGGGTGACAAGCGACGCAGTCCACCTGATGATAAGTGGTTGCTGTGGCCCATAGACATCTATAACTAACTTCGTTTGCGAATCAAAATGCAGATGCGTTGTCAGTCATGAGGACTAAGATGGAATGCCTCTTTTCCAGTTAAAAAGAGTCTTTAATTATTACGTATGTATACTGCAGGGTGTGTTCGTAATTAATTCTTAATCGAGGTTTAATAACCAACAAAATGAAAATGAAGGAGGCCGATTTTGGACCACGGCATCCACTTACCATAAGATGGACTATGTACTCAATTTTCACCTAGTAGCTAGATATTATACGTCTAGATCCATTGAAACCTTCCTCACAGGGTGATATGGGATAACGAACACTCCTACGCCGCCATGATAAGGCGTACATACATACATTTCATTTATAAAAATTCAATAACTACATTTTTTGGCTCACCCGGGATTCCTCACCAGATCACCAGACCACAAGGCAGTCTTTTCATTTTTTTTTAATCAACTTTCACACATATATGGTCACAATAATACAAATGTATTATGTTGTTTTTCTTTTCAGCGTATTCGCTCTACTACTTGGCCGTAGTCAACAGCTTGTACAGGAAAATGAAAATGTCGTACAGCGAGACTGCGCTGCCTTTGTGAATAATGAATACATTATCGGAAAAAAGACTTTGGCCTAGTAATAAGTTGGTTGATAGATGGAAAGTTTTTTCATAAAATGGAACATGGTAAATCTTGGTTTTTATTTATATTATGGATACTACGTGGACTGAGTTTTTAAAAAATATAAAAGCAATGGCATACAATGTCGTGAGTGAGTTTTATGACAATGTAAAACTACAATAAAATGTTATAGGTATTTCATTATAAGTTGACAGAGTTTTTAGGTTTATAGTGTTATAGTTAATTATGTTGCGGATTTTTTTATATGAGTACATATTTATAAATTTTAAAAACAGTTGAGGCCCGTTTCCACCTGTCGCATGATTGACGAATGTCAGTAATTAAAAGTTAAAAGTTACAGTCTATATTGGTACGTCCCACTGCTGGGCACAGGCCTCCTCTCATTTCTGAGAGGGTTTTAGAGCAAGGAAATGGCCGCCACGCTGCCTTAATGCGTGTTGGTGAACTTCACATCTCTTCGAAATATTTTTTTTTATTTCTCAGATATGCAGGTTTCATCACAATGTTTTCGGTGTCAGCAATTTTTTTTAGGTAATTTTGGTAATTGACGTCAGTGCAAGTAAGCCCGATAAAATTATTTAGGCCATACAAATACTTGTCCCTTGGTCTCGTGGCGCAGTGGCTTAGTAATGAGTTGCGGCGCTGGGAGCTGCGGGTTCGAATACCGCACGGAACAAGTATTTGTATCATCAACAAGTAATTGATCAGGGTCTGGATATTAGTCCTTGTGAAATTAATGTTTGTAAATTGTTTCTTCGATACAGGAAAAAAATCCTAACGTAACGTAACGGTAACATTTTTTAAATTTAAATATCCTTGCGGGATTCAAACGTGCGGCTCTCAGTGCCGCAACTCAATGCTCAATAAAGTCAACTTGTCGCCGTTCTCCGGTCGGTGTCGACAATAAATTGGTGTGGGATAAAATATGAACAACTCACATTTTATATTTTCATTGTTTAGAAAAAAAATAAAAGTGCAATAACTAGTCCTACTTAATTATAAATTATTAGGTTTCTAAGACTTATTTTAATAGTCTTTCTACAGGGTTATTTTCCAAAGAGTATATATCCATATTTTATATTTAATAAGTATATAAATAATAATGATATACCGTTATTGAAGTTTTTGAAAATACGAGTAAATAAGGATTCTACTTTTATTTGAAATTATCCCAAATTGAATGTGATTTGTGGGCAACAACTACGCGTACGCGCGCTCGTCTATGTGCGATTCAATTCACAAAGTTTTTGCCGACCGATCGACCCTTACGAATGTGTGCGTGCGTAGTAAAATAGTAGGCGTTAGATATTTATGAATGACAATCATTTAAAATAATGCAATGTTAGTGTTACGGTTCTCAGTTGCCCGGACAGAAGTCGACTGTATTAGGGCCCATTAGTAATACACTCGACGAGCAACCAGAGAGTTCGGGCCCAATGGCCTTATGGACAATTGACCTACACGATCGGGATAAGGCTAGGAAAATTAATACGACTTACCTGGTTCAGAAGCGGAGACTGGTCACAAAGCTAGGTCAGGCGATAGGTGTAGTGCATGTAAGTGGTGTTTGTTAGTGTATAAAAATGTGGGGCCTGACTTAACCCTTTTAGTCGGTAGCAACCCTGACTCCGGCACCGCCCCACGGTGTGGTATTCTCCAGCGGCGTCACCAATGGACAATTTCTTTCTTCAATTCACTATGTCAGTCTATCAACTTTATTGTACATTTAACTAACTTCAAAACTCAACTAAATCCCGTTAATCATAATCAGAAACGTAACACGCGGCACGACTGATGAACGGTGGGTCAAAGTTCACTTCCGTTCACTCAGCAACAAATTATTTCGAGAACCGAACGCGACCCTCTAAGGCACTTAACGCAACAGTACAATTAAACATTAACTTCCAAACAATAAATCAATCCGGCGTCTAATTTTCTAGACTCCACAACTTCTCATCGTTGCATAAATTTGCTAACAAAATCGACACAATCAGATGTTATTATTTACGTGATCACGCGGCCCGAGTAGACTCAGTCCAATACTTAGACCACCTAATCCGAGGCGGTCTTCACGAAACCACAATATAAGTAGCGAAGTAACGCGCACAAATACTGAAAATCTAGACCATAAAACTAAAACTGGTCGCACGAAATCGCTGCCACGGTCACTACAAATACGTTACGTTGCGACGGCGCCGCTGCACTCAAGCTACTGTTTCTCGCCCACGAGCGCCAAACGCTGGGAAGCTGCATACTGCTGCCCCCTCCCCGCGACGCGCGTGACACCTAACACCATCGGGCGATTCGCAAGTCGAAGGCGATTGGATGCCGTCTCAAATGACCATTTTTGGGCCTAAACAGTTAGAAATTAGTTCTTCATATATTACAAAATAATCCTGTATGTGGACATGACAATAATTTATAAGACTTATATATTTATTGTATATACCTACACATATGTACTAATGTTGACGAATCTTATAAATAAACTTTGTTTTAATGTGCTCTGACACTAGAATATGCGTTTTATCAGGTTCAAAGTGGAAACGGGGTGTTTTTAAAACTATTAGATAAAAAGCTTTTTATAACTATTTAATGTATGTGAATAAATAAATAATAATAAAAATATGTAGCTTTTTATATACCTACTGCCAGTACACACAACCAAATCATATATCTAAATTATTTTATTTTTTCCAATTTTGGTATAATAAACATCAGAAATTCAGCGTCAAAGTTGCGAAATGTATGGTACTGCGATTATAAATCCGCCTGCCGAGCGTAGAGATTAAGGCACATTCTCCCTACAACAGGTAAGGGTCATGCCCAGCAGTTGACTTTAACTGGATGATACAGAGGATCCCAATTAAGCTAGACATGGTAGAGCCATGCTGCAGGACATATTTTTTTAAATTCATTTAGAGAACCACAAACAAGTTTACACTATATCTTATGCTAAAGCTTATCTTCTATTACAATTTCTTACTTATCATAAACTCAACGACGATGTTCTCACATAGAGTATAAAATAGAATAATAATGTGAGGGACATAATTTTGTAAAAAAAGTACCATAATTTCCACAATATAATTTTAACGTGTATTAGAGGTTAGAGCTTTGTGTGTTTGTGTGCCAGCATGTGTGCGCTCACACGCGAGCACACGCGCGCGTATGCGTGACTATGCATGCACATTTATAGTCATTGGTTAGATAATTTATGGTTAGTGTAAGTAGTTAATGTATTCAAGTCTTTAAAAGCGAAATTAAATTAATAAAAGTGTTTAACAGCAAGTTAACTAGCTGTCTATTGTATGTTCTGGTACTGCAAGTAAATAAATATACCGAATAAAATTTTTTGTTGTATGTGTCAACCATACGATGAAGGGGGATCGGATACCAGCGTTTGTCCGAGATCTTGGCACAGCAAAGAGTGAGTGAGAACGCATACGTGCGCGAGGTCGTACGGAGTAACTAATATGATTAATTATATCTGTGCAATTATACTTGTTATTGCACAGATCATAAAGTAATCTTCCCTCAAGTTGACCTATGTAAGAACTAGAAACATACTCTTTGCCACGTTGCCTTGTTGTTTGGTTGGTCTAATAGTCGTAAGCACGATTGCTAATCTCAAGGTACCGGGTTGGAATTCCGGGTTGGGCCAAATCAGTTACTGGGTTTTCTGTCAAGAAATTCACAGTAGCAACCCGAAGTCAGGAAGAGTGGTATTTCGTCCCCATGCCGGGGGGACATAACACTACTAAACATTCTAAGTCATTGATCCTACGCTAATCGTGGCGGATGCGGTTCACCTGATGATGGTAAGTGACTACGGCCGCCCATGAACAACTGCAACACCAGGGGAACAAGGGGAATTGCAGATGCGTTGCCGGTCTTTTAAAAAAGAGTAGGCTCTTTTCTTGAAGATCCCTAAATCGTATCGGTCCGAAAAAATCGCTGATGGTAATCGATTCCACAAGGAAGTCGTGTGAGGAAGAAAACATCTTCTAAATCGCACAGTGGTGGACCGCCAATCTCCACTATAAGAGCAAGGGAATAAAGAGTGCACCTGTGCTTGCACAAACAATAGTGCACTTTAATCCTGTCCTCCGCAGATAGCTATACTCAGTTGTGGCTGGCCATCGTGGCTGAAATTCTGTCTGGAGGAGGATATTAACACATATTTACAGCCTGTAATAATTCTTCGATGGCCAAATTCAGTATTTTATACAAGGCTTTGCACTTATCCAAAACATAGAATACCAGCGTAAAACAGCAGATTAACACTGCTGTGTTTCGTATAGTGACAAGCGAGCACACAGTCCACCTGATGGTAAGTGGTTGCTGGGACCCATAGGCATATACATCTATCCTCAATAAAGAATCAAAATGCAAATTCGTTGTCACCCCTGAGGATTAAGATGGAATGCCTCGTTTTCAGTAAAAAGGGTCTCCGGTTCTCTACACTCACCATATTCGTATACAAGCTTATATAATACAGCTTAATGCTGCTATTTTACGCGTGTATTCTGTGAGAGCGTGGCACTACCCCGGTCGAGCCGACCCATTTGTGCTACAACAATAATATAGCTGCAGCAACGCTCTCCACGTATAAAAACGCATCGTTAGTCCATAGACTGTAGAAGCCATTTAGCACTAAGTTCCTCGCTTGTTACTCAAATATTGTTAAAAAAACTCCACTCAATATCGCACAACACTACAACTCAATCCCATCTCACCAAATCACTGTCAATAAATTTTCAGCCTAATAACGTAAAGTAAAATGGCGCGAAGTGTAGTACTGCAATTGGCATCGCCAAATCAACTGATTAGTGCAGGGACTCACTTGAAATAGGCCAATGCGCAGCAATGATACTGACCGATGAAGTGATGACAAAAAGAAGTTTTAAAAAAATAAAAAATAAAAATGGAGGCCAAGGTTTAAGGTTTCTCATGCC